GCCGGCCTGACACAACATCACGTGCATCGCCACGAAGAAGCAGCATGTCCCATCACCCCGTGCCCGTCACCGCAGAGCTAGCCTGCCCAGCACACGTGCCGGCCCCGCAGAGCAGCCTGCCTCAGCACTCCGTGCCCGCCCACCGCAGAGCAGCCTGCCCAACAACCCCGTGCCGCCACCTGCAGAGCAGTCTGCACCAGCACCCCGTGCCCGCCACCGCAGAAGCAGCCCTGCCCCCAGCACCCCGTGCCCGCCACCGCAGAGCAGCCTGCGCCCGGCCTGCCCCAGCTCCCTGTGCCACCACCGCAGAGCAGCCTGCGCCCGGCCTGCCCCCGCACCCCGTGCCACCACCGCAGAGCAGCCTGCGCCCGGCCTGCCCCTGCACCCCGTGCCACCACCGCAGAGCAGTGTGGGCCACAAGAGCCATGATCGCACCTCCATCCACTTGGGCCGCCACAGCCAGGACTAGGTTCCAGCTTCTTTGATTTTCCGTTTCTTCCCTTTAACAAAATGATGAAAATGCACGATGGGCCGAAAAGGCCCAGATCTGTAACTCCTTACCCATTTCCTGGAGCAAAAAAAGGAAGGGTGAGGCGCTCCCCCAAATAAAGGAACTAAACCCAGAAAAATGGGATTGACGTGCAGGAGTGAGGCTTCCGGGGGGAAGGGCTGGCACCGGGCCGTGCAGAGAGGGATTGTGTTCAGTCGGGATTCAGGGAGCTGAGCGGGAGGGCCTTCGGAAGCCACACCAACGGAAACGCCAGGCAGACGGGACGGAAAGCAGGCGGGTGGGAGGGGCAGCTGCTCATTATGCCCCTCGTGGGAGGATCACCCGTCTCTAACTGTTTCCGGTTTCCGAAGAGGGCCAAGCGGATTCCCACAGTGGGCACCACTGCCTGGGGCGGCCCAGCAGCAGCCCTGGGGCCCACACCCCCGTCTCCCCCGAGCATCAGGTCCCCCAACCCCCCCGCCCAGGTAAATCCCAGCATCTCCGCCATTAGACAAGGAGTAAATGGAGTATTGACGGGTTCATTGGCCGTGGGATTTAATTTGGAGCCATCTCGCCGGGCCGTAATGGGCTGGCGATGACTGCCTCTCTCCTCCGCTGTCATCCGCGAGGAGCTGAGTGAGGAAGAGATGCACAGGGTGAGGACGTCCCCGTAAACCTGGTGACAGCCCTTGGTCACTCCTCAGCGCCTCCCCCGGGTGCCTCGCGGGAACCTGCCTTGTGTCCCGGGGAGCTGGGTCTCAGGCCCTCGGCCCGGGCACCTGTGGGCACTGCTCACCTGCTCTGTGCCACCCCATGCCCTTCCTCGCAGGCTGGTGACTTGGGGAGACGGGCGCTGTGCCCAAACCAGCACAGTGCCCCCTGGCACAGATGGCCCCACGCTGCATTGATTAAACCATCTACAGTGTTAATAAAAACCCTTCCTGTACGTTCCCACTTAATGGCCGTAGCCACGCTGTGAGCACAGGTCAAGGCTCGCACAGGGGGACACTGACGCCCAGGCGGTTCAGGGACCTTCCTGAGGCCACCTGGGGGTGTGGGGAGGCCGGGTGTGGGTTCTATGGGGGGAGCCGCTGGG